ACAAACTCACCAGTCTAAATACCCAACCAGTTTTGAGTTAAAAATGTTTTTTGTTGTTGGTTAAATGAACGTAATTATAAACACCTGGTTGATATATTTTAAGTACCATGAAAACTAGATCTCCTACATGTGTGCGAATTAAAAAGTACTAAAATAATAGCTTTGTAGTTTTTTTTAGTAAGTGTTTTACGGCACTTGCAACACAATAAGGTCATATAAATGTCTAAGATTAGAGGTGTTACAAGAGAGTAAAAAGCACAAAATGGAAGGAGGGGAGATAAAGACGATAGATGTTTGATAGGAAAAAAGGAGCAAACCACACCAGAGCACCCGCCAACCACCTACTAGCTTTGAAGAAGCTGGTGAAAAATAATGTAAGGGGACAAAAGCAGAACACTAATTTGTGAAAAAAAATAAAAAAGGTGATGCAACTGGATTCTCAAAAAGTACGAGCGAAAATAACAGAGAAACAATGAGCACAAACCTCTTCTTCCAAACCTTTTTTCATATGGACAGTTAGCTTTGAAAATAAAATGAAAACAAAAAGCAAATATGAATATAGGTGATCACATGAAGAACGAAAATAGTCCACAGCAGAAAAAACAGAGAAGCGAAACGAAACAGCAATAATAACAATAACGACAACAGCAACAGCAGCTGAGGGGGGAAAAGCGACGTCACATGGAAAAAGGGGTCATATGAAAAGTTTTTCCTTATAAGTGTCAAATATAGTACATAATTTCAAAGTCTAATCAGCCTACTGTCATGCACTGTCTGTAAGATGATTAAGCGTCAGAACAAATGATAATGACGACAACTTTCTGAATAGAATTTATTGACAAGCAAATGAGTAAAAGAATAAATAAGCAAATGACACATTAAAGGACTAAGCCTTAGAACAAAGCTTCTTTGACAGGTGAACGACCTCACAGACACACGGGGTAACATGACTCATAGGTTCAAGTTTTTCCTCTCCCATGTGGACAAAGAATCAAGTCTACAAAACAACAAAACAAAAAAAACACCAACATAACAAAAACAACAAAACGAAAACAACAACAACAGCAACCCCCACCCCCCTAACCCCCCCTCAAAAAACAAACAAACCCCAAACCAAAACAACAACAACCCCATAACCAAAAAACCCCCAAACAACAAACAAACACAAGAAACGAAGGAAAACGCGACTGAGTCACTTGATTAAAACAAAAGCTTCCATTCCACGACTGTGAACTAGATATCTCTAGATAAAGCGATAAGGTCAAGAGATCTAATTTCCTGTAGTGCTGGATGGATGTTGTACAAACAGCCGCTCGGTAAGACACCTAAAAACTTTCAGAAGAGTGACGTACGAGCAGCGGAACAAAAAATGGCAAAGACGAGATACAGTTTCTGATTGGACAGGACACCCAGACAATGTTAGTCCCAACTTGACTCTAGAACCCCCAGAAATGATATCTGGAGACGGGTCGGGTATCAGCTAAGTAGACAGACACACAAAGGTTTGGATGGAATCCATTATAATCCCTTGAAAGCACAAACGATTTACACTGAACGTCGCGTGTCTAAATTAATACGTAGCAATAAGTCAGGATCTTTTTAATACGCCTCTCACGACTTTTCGAGCTCTTCCAACTTAAAACTGTAAAATTTACACGTCGTTCATTTTTTTACATTGTAATATTACTGACAAGAAGCGGTTAGAATAAAAAACCCAAAACGGAATAAAATAAAAACGATATCCTCTTATCGTCAAAAGCAAACACAGTTTAGTATTGTGTAAATATGACAACAGTTAACTATTTCGTTTCCTCCTCCTCCTCCCCTCACCCCCTCTCTCTCTCTCTCTCTCTCTCTCTCTCTCTCTCTCTCTCTCTCTCTCTCTATATATATATATATATATATATATATATATAAAGAGAAAAGCTCTTCACTTCAGTGGACATTACGTTTAATTCTGTGTTATCGGTTTGGTTTTGTATCATTTTAATCTTCAACTTCAAGATCTGAACCAGACATCGACGATCACGGTTCGTGATTCATTTCACTGCTAGGATGCTCTCTAAAAAAACCCATGTAGTATTATACTTGTATTACATGCATTATCCTGATCCATTCGCGTCCCTAATCTGTTCAGGTTCCCCACGAACGTCATTCTAGGACTACCTCTGTCTATTTTCCCAGGGAGCAAAGTGAGGCCGATAGCCTTTGGGGCGGGTCAGGGGTCCTTTACTTTACTTTTACTTTTACTTTTCCGATCCAGCGGCCATTTGAGTTCTAGCCCTTCGGTCTGTCGATATGGCAAAGAATTTACAGGTTTTTATCAGGTGTCCTAAAAACTTCATCTCGCTACCTCAGAATTACAACGCTCTATCTGACATTTTTGGCCGTTTTGAGTTACTAAGACCGTGAGGTTGGAAACCAAAAGTTTTATCTGCTCTACCAAAATCGTAATATTATATGGAGCCGTTTTCCAGATATTAAAAAATCTGCTTTTGAAGAAGTTTGACATATTGTGAAACTTACAGTGTTTTAGGTCAAATTTCTCAAAACTAGGTACTGGGCAGAAAGACCATGTAATTCTAAAGTACTGATTTTCCCTTTCCTGATAATTACTGAATTCAGCTATCGTCCCCAGCAGACTTCTGTCAGTAACACCTCATTTGATTGAGTAAACAGTCAACCCCCTCTCCCTCCCAAATAAAATCAAAACAAACAACATTACACAAAAAACAAAAAAAACAACAACAACAAAAACAAAACAAAACAACAACTCCACTACTTCGATGGAAACGAGCGGTTAATATTTCGTCAACAGGTATTATACGACAATGCACTGGGCAATTATGTATCCAATATTTATGAAGAATTAAAACTAACAATCCTGTATTTTCCCGCCTCATATTGAATACTAACACTAGTTAACTCGCACAATGCTTTGAAATGTTTCCAGAAACAACAACTACAAATCTCTGACCGATATGACAATTCTCTCAAGAAATGCACGAAAATCCGAGAGAAACAGAGAGTGATGTTTTCATACGATACGAGCTACAACTATTTCTCAGAACAAATCTAAACTAAATCTAGTTCTGTTGTTCTTTCATTCAGTCTGGAAATGAGACTCAACAGCCAGATAGATGGGGTAGAATCCTACCATCAGGCAGTCCATTACGTAGAACATGATTCATTTTTAAAAACCCGAAGCAAGATTCATACGAACAACAAAAATAACCAAAAACTCAACCC